GTGTTGGTAAGGGAATAATAATACTTTATGAGGTATTTTACTGTTATGGCCGTATTTTGGTTGCTTATGGTTCAGACCAGATGTTGATAGTGTAAGGCGTTCTCACTTTTTCATGTTGCACGTTCTCACATCAAACTTTAAGGCGTTGAAACATTCAAACTATTTAAATATATCACTTTTTGTATAATAATTTCTTTAAAAAAAATTAATAAAATATTATTTTTCTGAAAAAAAAAAACATTTAATGTAATATTGTTTATTTCGTGTTGCTTTTTATACATTTTTGTCATGATGCGTAATGGCACCCAAATGGGACATTACATGTATGAGTGACGTGAATACTAAACACGAAAGACAGTAGAATTATGACTATTTTTATAGTACTAGACTTTTTATTGTCGGCCTAATTTATTTTTTATTAGCTGTGCGAGTTCACATAACATTTAATGGCTATTATTAATATTAAAATTGATATTAGGTTTTTGATAAAATGCTATAACATGGAATGTATAAGAATCAACACATGAAAAATAAAAGGATGATATTTAAGTCAAATAAGAACTATTTGATATTTATTACACTGAAAGTCAAGTAAAATAGATTTATTTCGCAAAGAAAAAAAATTATCTAGTTTTCGATGTCAAAACAGTAAACTTTGGACAACAGTCTAACACTACGTAGCTGACATGAGCCACACGACACAAATACTGGAATATGACGTCACAAGTCATGTTGACGGATATGCCTTTCATCGAACAATGGAGGGGTCAACATTTGACAGCGACACGATTGCAAATATACTACTACAGAAAGCCAATTTTGCATTCTGACTTTTATGCAGTATATAAAGGTATGAAATTCGAACAAAAGTCTGTTTTATAGTTAATTTGAAATGCTTTGTTCCTTTCCTGTGATATGTTTTGGTATGTGACTAGAGGTATCTATTATGTTTCATTTTCTTTAAAATACAGAGAAGCAGAAAATGTCACATTGTCACTTTGTTGTATGAATGCTGAATCGGAAAACTTCGGAAGTGATTCGGAACTTCGGAAGTGACTCTAAACTTTTGGCAATTATACAAGATACCTACTAATGAATCCTATTTGAATGCAAATATAATAAAAACCACATAGTATCCACGTGTGGTGTTTAAGTAGATTTTGATTGTGGATGGTAGAAGGAAGTCGCTCCAAATAAAATGAACTGAAATTCACCCAAACCTAGATACGACTCCGAACTGACCTCAACCTACTTAGAAAAAATAACATTTTTTTATATATAGGTACTTTTAAATCATTATTCATTGAAATATGTTGTAACTTGAATATAATAAATATCACAAAAACAGAAGAGGTTGAAAAAAACAAACAAAAAACACAATATGTCTTTATTCCCACGATTTATTTTTAGCGTCCATATTGGAAATAGATACAAAGTCATTATTAATGTAGTGATTGAGGATAGAAGTACGTGTAAATAATAATAGACTGAAGTTCATATGACCACAATGCGACTATTAGTATGAACAATGATAATTTTGTAGGTAGAATATGAAGCATCATATCGGTGACGCTTGTATCTGTATCTTTGATCGACTAAAAAGCATTATAAATAGGCGTGATTCATCGTCAGCCATATCATCGCTAATCACAATTGCTGATCTATATCTATACATATAATAAAATCGTAGAAAGGTCAAAACTCTACATTCAATATTATTTTAAAGAATACTTGGGTCATTTTAATTTATCTGTGTGTATGTCCGGGCTAAACTCAAAAAGAACTGCATAGATTTACTTCAAACTTTGCATGAATATTACAAACAGGCCAGGTCAACATATAGGTAAGTAGCCTAAAAATTATCACGCTATCACCTACATGAGAGGAGCTGTGAAGAACTATCCAAAGTCACTATTCCATGCGGTCGAAGTTGCGGGCATCTAATAGTTTATCATTAAGATCTAAATGGCCAAAGGTCTATAATTTTTTTTCAAATATTGTTAAGGAAAATAGTGAATAACAAACTAGCCCCATAAACGGTTAAATTTTTTGGGAGCTAAGATGCCGCAGAACGGCAGACACATCAAAATTATTCCTCCTCAATTGTATTTGTATCGGATTTAAATAAATTCCTTCAACTGTACAAAACCAGCTCCAAATACAACTTCATCAAACAACCAGCTAATGTAAAATTAACCCTTTCGTTTCTTACATTATAATTTATACGTTAGACCAAACAACAAACAGAAATTTCCCAGAATCTAATTCCGCCTTGACATCATTAAAAGATTCGAAGAAACTAACACAAATTGTAGAGGATTGACTTAAATATCTAAATACTCGATTGTTCAATGTATCGATTTAATTTGAAATAGAATGAAGGCTCATTCTACCCAGTATTAGCTATGAAGGTCTTACAATCGGTTCTCGGTAAGCTATAAAGATGTATCGATTTTCAATCTAGGTATCGGGCTCGTTAAATTACCGTCGGAGCAGCCTATAACCACCCGGAACAAAAGGTCTTAAGGTCGTGATTGCTTTGCGGATTGATAAATTATTCTTATACTTTCACTCACCCACATGTTTTTTATGTCCATGGAAAACAAGTCTCTTTTGACTGAATAAAAATTTTGATGGGAATAAAGTTGCTGCGATGATATAACTCATAGATTTCACATTGTAATGATTCTACTTTTTCAAACCAATAGTAGTCAAAACTTGACTGTTAATTGCTATACCACCAAATACTTCTCCATTGGACAATCAGGACCTCATATCACACAAATGCTAGTCCTTATTACTCCTTGAACAGCTACCTAGAAGGTTTATATCTATATTTTATTGTGTATATGAACCAAATATACCATCACAGGTAATTTAATTTTATTAAACCCGTTGCAAAAGGAAGAGAATGTGCCAAAAATATAGATAAACAACTTACAGGCGAAATGAGGTCAGGACAAGGATGGGTGGGAGTTAGAAGAAGATAATCAATTTATCGGAATTTGCTGAATTGGCTGGGGACCTAGAAGAAAAAAAATCAATGGCAGCAAAATTGTAAATACTTTGATAAAATAGTAATCAATTTAAAAAATAGACTTGTAGCACCTCGTTTTTGGAAGTAAGTTAATTACTCCTAAGTGTAATAATCACTTCTCTGAAATTCAAATCAAAATCACTTTAGCCAATCGCGAGATAATGGCGCACAAACATTCATACATACAGGTCGAACCAAAAACCTCCTTATCTTCTTTTGAACTCGGTTTAAAAGATCTTTTGTATTTTTTTTATTATAACATTCGTGAGACATCCTTACTTAATATTATAAATCGAAGAGTAAGTTTGTTTGTTTGTTCCGCTATCACACCGTAACTACTAAACCGATTGCTTTGAAGTTTTGCAGATGTATAGTTAGAAGTCCGGATTAAATAATAGGGTACTTTTTATCCCGGAAAAATTTGATATTCCCAAAGGAAAACAAAAGTCTTGGCATAGATGGCGCTGTGTGTATTGGGATATGTCACATTGGCTTTTCATCCTTTTTTGACGAAAGCGTAGCCGCGCCGCGGGTAAAAGCTAGTACTAAATAAAATATTATATTTTCGGCTTACTCACGTATTTATTTGACGAGGAATTCAAGCCAGTACTCGAGTAGCCAGGAGCAGCGCGACAGTCGCCGTGTCACAGGTCGCTAAATGCTCATGAATATGAGTCTCTAGCATGGCTTGAAACTAGTCGAGTTCGTCGTCAAATAATTATGTGAGTTAGCTGAAAACATAATAATCTTTTGTAATCAGATTTTTTATACATATCTTCAAAATTTAGGCTAAAAAATTCAAAATAGTCCAAAGTTTCCATGTTGTCAATATTAAAGTAACTACGTTATTCAAAGTTCAATCCAACCATCTGTGACACGTACGTGTTCTAATTCATCCGACAACAAATAAGTTTATTACTCTATGTTACTCCTCTCATTACATATATCAAGTGAGATGATCACCTTTCAGTTTCATTATTAGATATTACAACGTAATTATACTAACAATATGGTGTGGTACTAATTACATCATATCGAAATTATCTAATCTATACATATAATAAAATGTAGGAAAGTTGAGACTGTACATATTTTTAATAGTTTTTAAATAATACTTTGGGAGTAATCTACAATGGATATCGAAGTCAAAAATAATTATGTATAGTTTTTAGTATTGTCTATTTCTCTGTTTGTATGTCCGGACTAAACTCAATAAGTACTGGATGGATATACTTCAAATTTTGCATAAATATTCGTATTAGGTCCGGTCAACATATAGACTACTTCATTATTATCAAACTAGCACCTACGGGGATGGAACTGTGAAGAACTATCTAAAGTCTACTCTACGCGAACAAAGTCACGGCCACAGCTAGTGTACAAATAATATAGCTAATCGTTATTCGAGATGTTTAGATCTATTTACTGATTATATTGATATTGTATTAGTGATGTCTGAAGATCGTCCTCTATAGGTTTGTTGTATTACAGTTTTCCTCGTGTTATTTTTGCTAATATCTTTTAAGATGACTTGTAAGAATGCTGTGATTATAAAGGAAAATATACGAATACTCAAACAAATGTACGAATCCTTTTGTACGAAGAATTATAATGACATTCATGTGCAATAGCTTTTTTTATTGGATAATGTAAATGAGCGGACGAATCACCTGATGGAAAGCAATCTGCATTACCCATAGACACCTGAAACACCAGAGACGTTACAAGTGCGTTACTGGGAAAAAGGAGTTTGAGGATTGTCGGTGATTCCGGGAAGGGGGCAGTTAGGCCTCCGGTAACCTCACAAGACGAAACTCAACACAAGCGTTGTTTCACGTCGGTTTTCTGTAAGCTTTAACATAGATTTGCGGTTTCAGACTTTTAGTTTTTACCGATTAATTGTGATCATTTAACAAAAAAATGTATTGATGTCTGCCTAACATTGTTCTTTTTTTCTTTCCAGAATGCAACATCCCTCAAAACTCCAAAAAGTGAACAGAAGAAGATAACAGTGCCTAAAATGACTATTAATTTAAGTATACCATGTGAAATACTACAAATGTGACCACAGAACCAGTGCCAAAACAATGCTTTGCTGTGGAGAACTCAAACTACTCTACGCCACTATAATTCTGTTACTAGAAGCCGAGTTGCTAGTGAATACGGGTGCTATGGAGTCGAAGAGGTCTTCCATTTTGGTTTCTCAGAATGCTGACGACTTGAAGTCGTTAGAGCTTTGCACTACAAGGAATCAGCAGCGGCTTGGTAGCGTGTTTGGGAACTTCACGAGACATCATAAAAAGGGTAAATACATAACATATAACATAACATCACGCCTTTTATCCCGGAAGGGGTAGGCAGAGGTGCACATTATGCTACTGTACAATGTAGCACCCACTTTTCACTATTTATGTTATGAGTCCCATGTAATAGGAGGTGAGCCTATTGCTATATATCGGGCACAATTCCAGACTCCGTGCTACAACTGAATTTTTTTGAAAAAGTCCAGTAAGTAATACTTTGTTCGACCCGGGAATCGAACCCGAGACCCCTTGCTCGGCAATCGCAATTGTGCCCACTCGGCCAACGAGGCAGGAGGTAAATATAGCACTTAAAATAATTTGTTGATAATCATCATAATAACACCAACATTATTTAAACAGAGAAGTGCTTGTACTGTCTTTATATTGAATTAATCTTGATTTTCTTATCTGTATATAACTATGTAGACTGTAAGTTATTTCTTGTGGTATTACTAGTAACGCCTTTCTAATTTTAGACTATCGATTTATTAGGCAACTTTAATCCGAAACTAAATTTAATTTTACTAAATTTAATTTGAACATTGATTCAAAGACCAAACAGTATTAAAGAAACTGAAGTAATACATAATTTACCCAAATCTTTTGAGGTAAAAGTGCTGTTACATTTTCCATGGGAACTTGCAACTGACACCATTGGTGGTTCTTAATCCTACTGGTAATTAATGTAGGTAAACAAAAACAACGTGCTAGAAAGACCTTGGAACAACACGGTAGAATTGAAAACTTAATTACAGCGTTTATGCTGTCTTCAGTGAAAATGCTGTCGAAATTGTTCGTGTAATAACCGGGATTGGAAAGAAATGCTATTTAAGATTTTTGACACGTGTATTAGCTTGAGAACATGGATTATTTTCTCAAAGATGTACAGATTCTTAACGAACTTTATATGTTTTACTACTTTCATCATAGACGAAACATCGGGACGTCGTCAAATAGTAAATGATTTAGTTCGTTTAAAAAAATCATAATTATTACCACATACATTATACTTGACTTACAAATTATTAAATAGCCAATTATTATGTTTTTGGCTTACTCACGTAATAATTTGACGAACAACTCGACTACTTTCAAGCCATGCTAGAGGCTCATATTCATGAGCAGCATTTCGCGACCCGCGACGCGGCGAATGTCGCGCTGCTACTGAGTTCCTCGTCAAATTATTACGTGAGTGAGCCGAAAACATAATAATTTATTTAGTATTATATTTTCTCACGAAAGATACAATACAAATATATTAGAATGTAGTTCCAGTAGCGAAAAATATCAACGCAGCTATGAAATCACTCGTAGGAGGCAATACAAACACTTATCATACGAAACAACACAGAACTAGAGATTATTTTCCTCTTTGAAGAACATTCAAGACATTAAAAAACAAATATTTCTCCAAAAACTTAATCCTACTAGGATTTCGCAAAATACAAATACAAAGTCCAGTTCAAAGTTTTCAACCAAACAAAATAACTGGCAACAACTAGGCACTTCCCAATACTCCGCCATATTGAATTTCGAGCTAAAATCCGCAGAATTGTGGAAAATTCTAGAAAAGATTCTATCGAAACTGACATAGCGTTGTACTTATCTATATAATGCGTCATAGAAATGGACATCCTGAGCTCCGCGAACGACGTTAGAGCTAAGAGTTATTCGAAAATGGAACTAGATAGAAATAAAAGAATATTCTCGAAGTTTTGATGGAATTTCCATCTGGTGTAGTGTTTTGATTTAATTGAAGTGCGCGAATAGAATCTCAACATAGATTGGAATGAGAAAATGTGTTTTAATGTAGTAATTAGAGTGGTGTGGGATTGTTGCTATTAAATTAATTCAATTTCTAAATATTCGATTCGATATTCTATCTAGACTTTCTGTTCGAAGTTAGGTTTCATTGAAAGGAACAATAAGATAAAAAATATAACTCTGGCTTCACCAAATTCCTTCAGAAATTATCATGTTTTGATCCTTTAGATTTTCTGCTAAACAAAAAAATAACCAAATAGTTTAGTATGTCGATTTTTTTCTTAGTTTCTTGAGACTCGACCATATACAAGCAAAGGTTTCTGATATTACAGGCATACACTACGTAGGCTTCGATAATCTACCTAGTTATGTATGTAAACAAGCGTATTCAACAGATACCATAAGCTTGTTGGTCATCTACAATTAGTACCTAATTTTCTTGCCGGCCCAGAAATGTGCGAACCTGTTTGTTCACATAAGTATTCACTTGTGTGGCACGGTCATTTGATGGGGTTTTGTCCGTGCTACACAATGTGAAAAAACAAGTACGCACGTTTTTGGCGTCGGATGGCGGCGGCGACGCATATGGTCACTCTTGCACTCACGGAGTTTGGTACTCTGCCATTGGTTTTACATACTTACTATTCATACGCGACTTGTGACAACCGATACAAGTTAGAACATGTGTAGCACCCCTTATAGTAACAAATGCAATGTCATTCATGTTAGATCTACAACCAAACCCATATCGTAACATAGCGATGTGATCAACCTAGAATTGAATGATGCAATCTATCCACTTAATAGAATCCCTTAATCGCTCACTAGTCTCCTGAGAATCGAGGCTGCGGTATCCGACGGGAACTACACGACCTAGTGACACAGTATACTACATTGGAAATAAATATAGAACGTATTGTAATGTTTGTTAAGGGCGATAATTGTGTAACCGTAATATGGATTAGGATAGATTATAAGTTTCATAACATAGTAGCAACCGGTAGCTGTAATATTACAATGAATTTTCTCAATGAAACGAAACTACGTTTGAACTAAAGACCAAGGACTAGAATAAGTTTTACTAAGCTTACACTGCACTCAAAAACTATTGAATCAATTTAAAAATGCTCGTTTTTATCCCAATCATAGAGGTTCTTAACATCACAACATCTATCATCATCATATTATCAAAAAGGCGTGATGTTATGTTATGTATATTGACTTTAAAACTATCCAATTTTGATCAAATTTAAAAATTATACAATGAGTCTATTGCACAATTTTCATAGTGACGAAACTTTTTCTTCTATTACTGGGAGACAATACAGTCATACAATATCTCATTGCTTTGTTAAAAGTAAAAATATGTCGGTTCATTATTACCTTCTTCAGCCTAAAAATAACTGATCCACTACTGCGATATCGCGCAGCCTACTATCATCATCCTATTAAAGATGGCTGCCTAATTTCTCAATCATGATGACATAATTTTGATCGCTCGACAAATATTCGTAGGTCACGTTGGACTGGACCGGCCCACTAATCCCGGTCCGATTGCCAGCCGGATTACCTGGGCCTGCCTTTGTATTACTGTTGCGCTATTAGGCTCTGATATAAAGGGGATGACGTCATTTATAGAGGTCATTTAGGGTAAACAACTCCGTGTTTCGACTAGAGATGGGTGTTTATGTGGTAAAGTTGAATTGTTGGGTGAATAAATATAAATAACTATTTGAAAAGATTACTTCAGAAAAAGTTAAATTGTTAATGTAGGTAAATTAATAAACTTATAGAAATATTTATGAAATATGAACATGAAGTTACCTAAGGTACTGAATCTGGTGATAAGTGTTGCGGTCTGCCCTAAATACTATGTGTGAAAAGACAAACAAACGAGACAAAAACTTATTATGTAATTTAGTAAAAACAATTTTTTAGGCATTTTACGTTCATTTTAAATTATGTATATGTGACTGGGTTTTGTACCTAAAGGGCTTGCCTTTAAAACAAATAGTAGTTTTGTAACGAATTTTGAACCTAATCCACTTTTTTATGCAATAAAGTATAATAAGTCTAATGTTTGACTATATTGTGGTGTCATATTAAGTTGGTATGTATTTATTATTTTACTTCTTTCTTGACGACTTAAGAAGACTTATCTTCAGCATCAATTTGCAGGTCCTGTAAAAAAAAACTTACGGATTTTTCAAAAAATAATCAATAGATTGGTCTAAGATAACTTAGGTAGACGAATAGGTACACTAGTTATTCTTTGATATTCTTTTATTAAACCAGAAACTAAAATTATCCTTCTGATAGAATGTTTTTAAGAAAATAAGTATAAAATTTAAAAGAAAATCAAATCACAACATCTTTCCTTTTGCTCATAAAAGCATATTATACCTCTAGTGATTTTGCTTTCATTATTATTTGTACCTATCCAATGTTTAAAAATGTATTATGTTCTCAAAGATAAAATTTATACACCACTTTTAAGTCATGCCTTTATACAAAATTGAAAACTTACTTGTCTCTACACGAAATACAAAAATAGACCTTAAAACGAAAGTAAATAAATGTTAAATTTGCGCAAAAACATCGTTGTTTACTATCTCGAAAATTTTCAAGTGTATTTTGTATCCAATTATTTGCACAAGACTCGTATATGAAGCAATATTAAAATGTAGCGACTAACATAATAAATACCTACAACTTAATTGGAAACCGAGTTAATATAATAAAAAGTCAACATATTTAATATTAAGTTATCAAAATAAAGGTCTTTGGAGAGTAAAAAAACATTGTAAAAATATTCGTGACTAGCAGGCTCCCGGCTTCGCACGGGGTAGACAATTATTTATTTTTGGAAATATAGATTGTTGTAGTGACATAACTACAATAGTTGAACATATGCTATCTCGGAGTTTTTTGTTGGCATTATAATGTTCTTCAATATCGTCCCCGTAGAGCGAAAATTAACTAAGTCCAAAAATTACCAAAATGAGTTATCACTATCATTAAAATGAACTTTTATTTCTCTATAAATCAGTCTAACCGGTATTTATGTAGCTGCCGTCGTTTTTGTTTTACGGAATGTGAAAAATAAATAAGCATATGTTTTGGATTCCACATCATAATTGGAGAAATAACTAACTTAATCAATTAATTATACATTTACGAAAAAATTGCATAACTTAAAATTAAGTCCACTTAATTATTTTCCTATTCAATTGTGAATGCATCCACTTGTCAATAGTTAAATTAAAAATCACTACAATGATTTGGTTAATATTTGAAATCAATAGTTTGCTAAAACGCACGAAAACGAAAATTAACTAACTCGACGTAGTGAATATTGACTCTTGGTTTTTAAATTATTTGTACTGTACTGTAAAAATGAAAAATCACTAACCCATTTTAATCTTTTTTTCTCTTTTAAAAGGGAAACGTAAGACCTATAGTGAACAAAAATAAAACCTTTAAATTTTAATTTTTGTTCACTATAGGTCTTACGTTTCCCTTTTAAAAGAGAAAAAAAGATTAAAATGGGTTAGTGATTTTTCATTTTTACAGTACAGTACAAATAATTTAAAAACCAAGAGTCAATATTCACTACGTCGAGTTAGTTAATTTTCGTTTTCGTGCGTTTTAGCAAACTATTGATTTCAAATATTAACCAAATCATTGTAGTGAT